CTTTCAATAAAAATGTCTTATTTGCTCGTCCTATTTCAATTTTCTGCCAGTTGCTTCCTGTACAATACCGTAACGGTTCTCTACTGGTACGGTATGAATTTCATCGAGCTCTGTCGTCTGGCGGAGGTACAGTGACCGAAAGTTGCTTTCGTCCCTAAGTTTTGCACAGCAGTGTATTACTTTGAGGAGCCTTATTTTCTCGAGTTTGCGGATTTTCACGCCCTATCCCCACGGTTCTACCACACGATTTCTTCAATTATTTGGTTTGAAATAGCACCTCCAAGGTACCGTGATCTCCGCTTTCTAGAAAAGGGGATATCAACTATCATAAGCGAGCTCGAGTAGTTTAATGACTTGATAGACAGTGCTACAGACACCGCACATTGACGTTGTTAAATTGCTAACGAACCGGATATATTTTCTGCTCAAATGTTTCCTCTACATTATCTTCATCGAACGGATTGTTAGCAGGCGGCATTTGACCGGAAGCGGAATCTGCTAAGGAAGCAGGGGTAGCTGGTGGCGGGGCTGGAGCCGGAGAAGGAGTAGATCTATGTGATCCTACCTGAAAGAATCAAGTTTCTGCCACGTAAACGAATGAAGATGTGAAATGTATTTGTATGGGATAGTCAGAAAAGTTCAAAACGAAATAACTATGTAAAGAACGCACGTCTGCTGCACTATCAGTTGGCGTTGAAGGGCGAGGCTCTGGCCGTGGAACTCGAAGGAAATCCATAGATTCACCGAGACGATCCAATTGAGAAACAATTTGTTTGTTAAGCTGGGAAAAGACAGACTTTACTCTGCTGAACAAAATATTTTCAACCAACAATGGAAGCGGAGGGGCTCACCTTAGAACACTCCGTTTGATATATACTCCGAGAGTTAAACAATGATTGCAACGTGTCAACGTAAAATGTAATGCGACTATCATATGTCGCTGGAAGTATCTGAAAATGAAAATGATAATATCAAGAAGAGAAGTGTCAGCACTTGTACGCAGTTCAGTAAACATTCAAAGCGCCAGTGATCACCGCATCCCTTTAAGTATTTGAGTACCAGTTCGATACGCATATTACAGCACATTCAAACAAAATTTTGATTATTATGATCTGAATTCCACCTCCACAAGAATAAGATCTACGGGGTGGAGTGGAATCGAACCATGAATTTAACAGTCGGATCGCTCGGCTCACGAGGGGCACTCCTCCATTTTGTATTAATGTTAAGCTACAGCCTGCATCCCTTTCAATAAACATCAAAAAGTCAAGGTTATATAAATTAATTATTAATAAAAGTATATGTGACCCGTTTCGCCTCAGCTTTTGTTTGGTATGTTATGCTAATTTGTTACTCACCAATCCCCGGAGCTTACCAACGACTTGGGGTTAGCGAGAAACCAGCAATATATACTCGACACAAGCAAAGGCCTTCCAATTCTTGATCGTAACACGTAATGACATCTTCTACTCTCGCTACACTTCAGTTGGTCGTGTGACGATGCGCATCCGATCGATTGTTCCCTTCAGCAATTCAAAGGAGAAAGCTATGGTATTGCAAAAGGGAAATTCAAGGTCAGAAAATACTTTCTGTCAAGGATTTGTCACCGGTTACTCCGCAGTTTTTTTGTACGGTTTTTAGTTTTCTAATAAGCTTGAACACCAATGAACTGGTTTCTTTTCACGGTTAACCCTCAACACATAATCGCTTGGATTAAAGTTTTTGTTTTATTTTAGCTAGCGGGCATGGGGAGAGAAGGGGGGAGGGGGGGAGCCAACATATATCTAACAGATTCATGTATACCAAAAAGCATTTCGATTATAAATAGTTAAAAAACAAAATAAAAGATTTCAAAGACCGTCGTCGGCAATTCAACGTGAGGTGAGCAATGAACCCATAATCACTAACATGTTTCTAGGTCCAATGAATGAAAAAAAGAACTTTTATAATCAATGACCATACCTCCAATAATTCGTTATTGATCTCCTTGTAGAACGCCTCTGCTTGTTGAAGCTCCGTGTAAGCTTTGGCCACTTTTGGATCTGTTTCACCCTGCATTGCGAAGGCAATTTTGACAATACCACCGATACGTTAACTAGCAATTGAACTGTGTTGCCAACCTTTTTACTTGAAGCTTTAGCAGAGCTGTACGTGTGCTTTGCGTGATCGTAGTCAACCAGTTTCCTTCCTCGTTTGTCAACCTTAATGAGCTCATGAATCCTAACAACAGCGATTGTTCATAGTGAGCGAAGTCGTCAAAAAAGCTATTCTCATTGATTTCGTAAAGCGATTACATAAATATATANATATATACAAATTCACTTCGCACAACTGGTATTACATTTTACAGTAACTGCGAGGAAAGATCTCAAATGCTTGAATTCATGATTATACCACACAAAAGATGTCATTAGATTGGACTCGATTCCATGCCCTATAGGAGCTGTCGTGAATTTTGACTCTGCTTCACAATGATCTTAACGAATATTTAGCTAACTGTTAGCGACTGTGTCACTGCTTTCATAATCAACGAATGAGAGCAAATATAATTATAATCTGGAATCTAAAAAAAAGTAAAAATATATTACCTTTTTCTTCAATTCAGGAAACTGGGAAACATAATTGTAAACCGTTTGTGGGAGATCTTCACACAACACTTTCTCCATTTCGTTTGATTGGATTTCAAGATTCTGTAAAACACAGAATAAATGCTGCCCTAATTCTAAAACGACAAAGTTTCAAAACTTTGCAGGACTTACATCAAGGAGAGCTGTCAGTTGTTCTCGTTCTGGCCATTCCGGTTCATATGACTCCCTGATCGTGTCGTGAAGAGCTTTTTCAGCTTGACAAAGCGCCTTCATGGCAGTGGAATATGCCTGCAAAAAATGAGATTAATGGCATAATTTTGGATGGTTTTCACAAACAAGTTATTCACAACATCCTTGTAACTCAAGGCTGTGTAATCATCAACTATGGCTTCATGCCACATCGGCTTGCACTATTGTTTCTACTTTCCAGGTATAGATTTCCATCTTTAAGTAGGGAAACTGGGCCCTCGTATGATATGTGACCGTCCACAATCGAACGGGAATGGGTTCTACATCGATTCTTTTTATAAATTTCCAGCAAAATGTTTTTTTAATTCTACTAGGTTGAAAAAAATAGTCTGTTATGCGAGGTTCCATAGAAAACTTTACTGAGGCGAACGAAATAAACTTTGCACCAGAGCTTAGCAATTGTTATTAACAGGAACCAGTGAGTAGTCTAAAAGGGGTTTTGTATCGGATGGTTGGCAATATTGATGAAATGAAGTATACAAGGAGTATTTGTGAAAAACGCTCCTTACAATATGTTATCACGTTTCTAATACGGTGAAAATCTGGGAAATTTCAACTGGACACCTCTAAGAATTCGGAAAAGAAAGACTAACTTTTACATCCTTGAAAAGCCGTTCACATGATTTACTTTGCTTCACGAGGTTGGCAGCATGGTTGTCGAATGTTTCATCTTGTGTAGCCTTGGCCTTCCCAATCCCCTCTAGTAGCTGCAAACATGAAGCATGACATGTACACTAATCGCTATTTTTCTGAGTGAATTAAGACTTTGTGACAAATGAAGAAAAATAAGTTGGGGTACTATGAAAGGAACAACAGCGTTGCTTACTTGCAAGGCATTACCTTCACTACGGAATGATAATAAGAGAAAACAATAATGGGCAGGATTAAAACCTGCACTAGAACTAGAAAAGAATCTTCAAATGAACTGTGCAGAAGTTAGTGACCATCGAGAGTATTTCTTCTGCTGTTAAAGTGGAAGGCCTGATAAGTGAGAGAACGCTGAATGATATCAAACACGAAAGATCGCCCCATATAATGCAAATTTTGAAGAAAAATCTATTTTTTATTTGTCCATACTGCTGCTGATACGACATTATGGAGAAAGCCACAAATAATAATAAAACTGAAAAACTCATATGGGCAAAAGACAAAAAAAATAATTGAAATACTCTTTTAGTAGCCCCAACTTTTTTAGACTGTGGTAACAATTTTACGGCCACTGCAAACGTTATTATTAATTAGACGATTGAAGCATTCCATTTCCCTCAATTTTCTGCCACTCCCAATTTTGAACGTATTGAATTAAAGTATGGGAAGTACGTTTTGAGTGCACGCAAGGACAACTTCGTTATCACACAAAAATTGACACGTGACCGTTATTTTTTCAAGAGTTATGTTCAATCTCTAAGGAACTCAAAATTCTAGAAGAATTGGTAGCAACTGTTATCAAGACTCGGTTCCAAGAAGCAAAACAATTGTTCTAAACACGACCGGTGCCGTTGGATCAATGTGACATCAAACACTGTGAGGACTGCCAAGAGCTTCCTTACAGCAGAGAAAAATCATCGGTAGAATAGTGGGGAAGAAAAATTCTTAAGTTTGAGAGTGTTTAAGCGTACTGTTGTCGAAGTTCTGCTCATACGTTTCTTGAAATGAAGAGCCACCCGTGAGACTGCAGAACCAATGAATTTCGTTTCCAGGATAATCATGTGGTCCGACCTTTCCAAAATGAGGGCTACAGCCCATTTTGGAATTAGATTTAGCAATCTGGAGCCGGATCCCTTCCAGCACTTGTAGTTCCGGGCCACAATGATCATGCGATCATACATGGTGCAGATTTTGAAAACTCATGAAATTCCAAATAGCCTAATCTAAATATTACGCACAGGCCAGAGCCTTCACTCACAAGACTTGCCAATCTGTTAGAGCGTCACCATCACGGAGTTGGGGGAATAAAAAAATAAGAAGATGATTAACAACGAATGTTCTTGATGTCAGAATGAAAACATTTGTAATGAGTCATTACGGACCCTAAGAATAACAGAAAGGAAATTAGGTACACTCCAAACCTTCTCTTTTGTCCTTGACGTGGCCTTTTTGATGTGTTTGTTGAAGAGATCTGCCATACTGGTCCCCTTAAGTAAGAGATGTTTATAATGCAGCTGATTGGTACATACTGGTACACACTCCAAAGAACTAAAAGGAGAGACAGAGGATGATCCATCGAAGATACACTTTTACAATTTCACAATGTATAGCATTACGTCTACAGTCCTACAAGTAAATTAGGAAGTGAAAAACACAATAAGTTATCTTGAGAAATGACTCTGGTATTCTTTTTGTTCCATAGAAACACTCCAACTTCAAATACACGGCGAAACGTGCAGCGAGGCCAGCCTTGCTCACAATTTTATGCAAATAATAGGATTTAGACCATAAAATGAAGAGCGAGCATGGTTTTACAGCCAACTCTTTAAAAATTGGAGGCCTCACTGCTACGCTTGAGCTGCATTGCTCTAATATTACGGAAATACGTACATCGCATGCCAAGAAACTGCTTTACAAAGTGATTCAGCATAGAGCGACGGTAAAGACCGTGCCTAGACCCATTGGCGAAGGGAAGCGATGAGCAAGAATGGGACGGCATGTTTGGGTAAAACAATCTTAACCTAGGCGGCCACCAAAGCCATACATAGAAGAGCATGATGTCACGATTTGAACCATATCATAAATCGATGGGTCGTTCTGAGTTGCTAGAGTAATCGGCTTCTCTCCGCCTGGAAGGATCAATGGGCAAGGTCTTCGCTGCGTCTCCCCGCGCCTCGGACTCTCGCCGTCTGCCACTTCCCGAAAGACTGAATCATAGGGAGTTCGCCGCCCAGTATATGTGTGAAACAATATGCCGTGGAATTCACAGCAGGTGCGAATGGATCGTTCAGATCCAGTGAGAAGGGAGGTAAATGTAAGTTCACGGCTACAACAAACCAACAGTAAACAGCAGCCAACAGCATGGGGAAGGTGGGATTGTCTTGGTGGAGTGCTATGGTCACCGTTCGAGAGAGGATTATGTTTTGTTCATTACATGACGCCCGCGTGTGTCGAGGGAACTTGTTATTCTATTCAACTGAAACCGCATCGCTCAAAAGAGTTCATGTTTGCGGGTTTGGATCCACAACAACATCAAGGACGAATCGAGGAGAGGAATGAGTTGCACTACAGCGTTCAGTCAATAAAGTAAAGTATCCCATACCAATGTCTCATAACATAACGGCGTAAAGGGCATGAGCTCAGCACATCGCTTCTTACAGCCGGTATCTTGAGTCGGTTCGAAAGGGCGTTACCCTGGAGTTGCCCTTAAACAAGGGAAACGGGGAAGGTTTCATTGCAATGCAGGTGAGACGTATCGCTTTTGTAGAATATTACAGATGACCATGACTTGATGGTCCGATTACGTTTTTTTTCTTTTGGTCTGAGGAACAATCCCGCATGTATTACTATTAAGTTGGCAACCGAGTAATTGTGTATATTTCAGGAAAACATGACAGGCATTATAAAAGAGAAAGTCCATTAACTATGTACTGACCGTAAATGATCAACTACCCGGTCTGTAAATAACGTGGACGCTTTGAAAACCAGGTTATTTATAAAACACGTTTCAGGAACAATAAATGAAGCAGTTAGAAAAGTACGCATTTACTTACTTGCCAACCTTATATCCAGTTGAATACATGGAGTATGCCGCAACAAAATTAAATAACTCACAACACTTCAGTTCTCACAGGGTTAGCGATTTGTGGGCAAAACTTCGGCCTCGAACGGACAGATGTTCCATCGGAGGCCAGAGTTTTACCCATAAATTGCCAATTTTGTTAGGATTCAGTTGCTATGTCAGAATTGGAAAAGTCCAAGAGCATTACAAATTTCCTAAAAGAACTCCCGCAACGGCAGAAAACGATTTTCCCAGAAACCCAGTATCTGATACAGAAGCGTAAGCATCAATTTTTTTTCACACACTATTTCCGTCAGACCAAACGTGCAACACTAGCGAAGAGCTTTTGCAAGAAAAACGAAGACTGCCTTAAGGAGAACCTAAGAGACAAATTGGAACAGGGCCTACGTGTGAACAAGTGACCTTGCGGGCTTTGCGCTGGAGCACATTATTTTATGGTGTTGGATTGCAGGTCGACGCGTTCGATAACTCGAAATTTCATTTTTTTTTTGTGGCTAAGTACATGACATTCCTGACCAGTGGAGCATCTGCTATAAAAAGACTCCTGAGTAGTCACTCTCCAAGACTGATGACACTCTTAAACTAGTCGGGTGACGACTCCCAATTTCTGTTATGTGCTTCCTCGTTCAAGTTTCTTCCATGACGATTGCTGAGCTGTTACCTTCCACTATTGAAAGATTATTAAATCTAAGTTTGGCGATGCCTTTGACTTTTGCAGTACCTCCCTTCAATTATTTTTGCTTTTTTTCCTCTCTCTCTATCCCATCACTTTCATGTTTGGTGCCCAGCAGCTAAGGAACAAACGAATTTGTAATACAGTAACCTGAGCTGTCACTCGGGCGCGCTGTTTGCATTGGGGCGCGAAGGGTAAAGCTACTGCTTCTTGGGTTAGGGGAACCAACACCAAACATTTAAAAAGTGTCTCAATGAAACTCTGGATCACCTTGAAGTTTAGCAACAAGCTCAAACTGCAACAGTGTTAATCCTCGAAATAAAGGCCAATAATTAGAATAGTAAATTGACAATCAAAATTCCAAACGACAAGTGTACAATGGCGAGACCAACGAGAAAGGCTCAAGTAAAAACGTAATATTCTTGAAGTATCTTAAACCAAACAAATATCAGCTCTTGCTATACTGCACTGTCCCATTTGTGCAAATAAACATTTCGCGTCCTTCACGACGCGACAATCTATATCTTCCCAAATGTTACAGAGGATTATTTTGACCACTAAACGCTTCTAGTCTCACCAATTACCCGATTTTCCAACAAGAGTAACCACAAACGGTCACTTCCGCTGTAGTGAATCCCTTTGGCCTTCAAATTTCCGTTCCACTCTCGCTGTTCACAGACGAAGTATGAAAAAGTCGTCCAGGATTCACTGACCGAGAAAGAGTTTCACAAAATCACGTTTATTCGACGCTTTGTGCCAATTGATTTCCCATCAGCAAAGGCACTTCCTTGCAGGGAAACTCATGGGCGTATGGCTAAGGAAGCTCTGCTGTTGCTCAGCTGCGTAGCCATTTTTTACTATTCCAAACGGATGGGTAATTGAGCATGGGTGTGGGCGGAGGTGGTGTAGTGGCAATTGACGCACTTCACAAACGCATGGTCACGGGTTCTAATCCCGGATCGATATCCGTCTTGGCTAACCAAGCCTTCCATCCCTCCAGGGTTGGTTAATTGGTACCAAACTTGTCTGGGAGGATAAATGCATTGACTTGTACATCTCTGCTGGCCACCGCAATTATAGGTAACATACGCATCCAATACGTCACTACTGCTCTGAATGGAAGTCGATTGCGTGGGCACATCCCTCAGACGGGAATGATTAACGCCGCAGGACTTTGTCCTTTATCCTTTTACCCAAACGGATGTATGGAAATCACTACGGATTCAAGCTCAGGGATAGGTAGTGGGTAAAGGGAGTTCCACACTGGTACCCCTACATGTTTTATGTTAGGTACCCTCAAGTTAAGAAGCAGCGCTTGAACTGTTTTAACGCTTGCACTCTAATGTCAATAACGACCTCGATTGACAGCTCGGGTGACTGTATCACTAATTCATCGTACGCCAAAACCTGTCTTTCAACTATTATACCACCGGTGTAACGACTAAAGCTTGAGAGTGTTAGACTAAAGACAAATATTTGTTTGAATCTTCGTATGTGTATCCAGCTGAACGTAAGGGCAGCATTTGAGTATTTGATACGAATGTAACATACAACATGAAAAACTGTTTTGATTGAGTTAATGGCAATAAATCATAACAAATCGAAGTGAAAATGAATCAAAGTAAACGTATAGAGTTGATTCCGTTGAGAAACTTCTTCGCCCTAACTTTCTTGTCTATTTTGAGATGGTGAAAGCATTACATCTTTTTCTTCAATGGAATTTATTGATCCAGGGAGTCTCAGACACTAAGGATTTCACTTAAGTGAAATCCTTAGTGTCTGAGAATCAGAATCGATGAAACTACAAGGATAAATTCTTCTGGGGTAAGCAATCCAGACAATAGGGTCTTTATTCAGCTAATGTTCAGAATCTGTGGGTGAGGTACTGATGCGTGTTCTTTCTACAATGGCCCGACGTACAAGCCAGTGCTTTCATCCTGCCAGACGGCTGTGGTACCAATTAACTGACCTGAAGGGATGGAAGGTATGGTTAGCATAGGCTCGGTCCGGGATTCAAGCCCTGGACCATAAAGGGTGATAGTGCGCTACTTGCCACTATATCATCTCAGTCCACCAGAATCGATATTGGACATAATCTTCTCAAATACAGTTTCCCACAAATTAAAGTAGTCAATGGATGCTTACTTTAAGATCAGGATCATCTCTCAAAATTATTGAAAGGCTCCATGCTGGAGAAATATGCAATTTTGGAGATAAAATAAAAAAAGGTTGTTGGAGATGTGATATTGTCCAATACAAATTATTGGAAAAAGAAGATTGCTGGAAAGAAAACGCAAAAAAAAGACAGAGAATGAATAAGAGAGTGAAAACTTGAAGGATCAAAAGAGTAAGAAGAGAAAGGTAATTGAAAAAAAACGGAAGAAATAGTCTACAGAAACTAACCGCGCTCATCTCCTGCAGAATGTCAAGCGCATTGCAACAGTCGGAGCCTGGAAGATTTCGAAACCACTAAGTGATATGGAGATAAAATAAGAGAAAAGTGCATTAGTGAGAAAGGGAATATCGATTCAATAACATCGGCCAGCAACGTCGATACATACCACAAAATAACGTGCTCCAGCGCAAGAGCCACGATAGATTGAGGGCTCGTGTCAGGTTTGCGTCGCAGAGCGGTCCATGGCTGGCAGTAGAACGCAGTTCTGTGTTTCCTCGCCTCCTGCCGGATCATCAGATATGCCGACATGTGGACATATTCCTGTGAG